AACTCCGACAGTCCATCAGTCACCCCATCCAGCCTGTTCACGCTCATAAGCAGTCAATTTCTGCTTGGCGTGTCTATACTGCATCATTTGGCACCGCAAGATGACAAAACAGCTAGCAGTGGCTATTGGTGAGAACATTTTCTGCTGTGCCATTGGAGTGTGCACGATACACGAACCCTGCTCTTTTGTTGGCACCGCCTCTGTAACTTACTGCATAGGGTGCAAGGTGACCGTTGTCGGTTTACATGTACTCCAGTTATTACACCGTGCATGCACTGAGTCTGTGCTGTACTGTGCATCCATAGGTGTCCGTTTGCGGTAGCGCAAGGTGACATGCAAGGTTGATGTATTGTGTTGTCCGCTGCTATTCGAAGCTCTCGGAGTCGGAAGCGTTACCTCTGTTTCCCCTGTTCCTCCCTGCGCGGAGTCTGTAGTTCTGGCTTGCAGTCGCTGTTACATGCATGTTGGCAGTTGCATGTGTTTAGGTTTTCAGTTGTCTTTATTTGTTTTGTGTGGACGACAGTTCAATATTCTAGCAGTTGTTGCACGTCCTACATTCCGTAGTTATCTGCGGTTGGTGTTAGATAGAGCAAACTGTGTTCTTCTCCAGAGTGGAGTAAACCATTCGCTTGTGTCTGAGGAAAACCCTGTGTGTGACGAAGTGGGTTGACTTGGCTGTAGAGTGAAAGTACCACATGGTCATATGGTCCACAAAATCTTAGAACTAACTTAGGGTCTTCTGGCGTATGGTATAATTATATGAGCAGCATGAGAGTGAAGTAAAAGACTATTAGCTCAAACAATCAATCTTTCAAGAGTAGGTGTTTCATCACGGAATAGGTTCTGCAGTTCACTTACACACTGCAACAATGGACCAGCAGTGTCCAGCATACAATAGTCATGTGAATATGTACCGTATGCATACTCACAGCTGCAAGGCCAGCGCCCCGTGGCTGCTTGACTTCTCACTCGATTTTAATATTCACAACAGTAAGACTCTGTGATCAATCAGGGCTCTGTGAGCAGTTATGCTTCGAAGTAGTCACAAATGCCCTATGATCAGTCACAAAACTAAACTTGGCAACCAGTCACAGCTTCCACGGTGCCCCTAGACCAGTCACCAGAGATGACTGTAGTAAATCTGCAGAGAGTTTCATAATCTGTTCATTGCAAAGTCCACTATACTATGATTCAAGAGGGGGGTAGCGTTCCCGCGAAAGCGGAAAACTTGGCTGGAACCCGAGTGTCACGTGAACCCTGATTTTTAATACTTTCATTATTTGTTTTACGATGAGCCTATTATACGCGATACAGGCTCAGAACACACTTTTCGTCTAGTTGGCATATCAGGGATATAGGGCGGAGCAGCCCATATTCCCAATTATGATACGCGAGTAATTATGACATGCGAGTAATAGTGAAATACGATTGGCGTATTGTGCTGGACTGACTGCGGTAATGTAAAGCTAAAATCAAGCAGTCTGTTTGCCCTTAGCATGGCCTTGTCATGCAGGTGCCACATCCGTGGAAAGGCAACATGCCGGCTAATCTCCCTGAGAAGTTGAGTGGTTATCAGCAGGCGATGACGCTGTGTCGATGATGACCTGTTGATGCCCGACAGGAACCTTGCGAGGAGAGTCATTGGGCCCGACGGGAAGGTAAAGCCAACTTCCACATGAAGTTTGCGGATGGCCGACATGTAGACATGGACAGATCGGGGCTGAAAAGTTCTGAACAACTCGGCAGCAAAATAACACAAAAAGTAAAAAGTCATCACCTGGCAATGGATTCCAGGCATGCCCTTGACAGAACTGGAAGTAACGGGTATCGGCGGAAAAATATTTCCGGCTGGTGCCAGTGCTGCTAGCTGCAGCACGGCGTCCGTCAACTGAGAGTTGGCAAGACTGGCTGATCTGGCTCAGCTGCTTCCGGAGCCCTCGATGTTTCAAACACCATTGGCGCAGGCCACATTTTTTGGCGCCGACGATTTGTTCGTCCACCAACAGTCGAAACAAACGTTTCTCACTTGCACAACCCGTAGAGCTGCCGCTGTTGCGCCAAGGCCCATTGGCGCATGGTGTGTATACTCCAAATCTACATGTATGATGATGGGTCACTGCTGACGTTTCTGCTGTTGGACAGTGCAACGCTGCATGAAGATATGTTGTGGCTCCACAATCGCTGAGAACGCTAGTGTGCGTCCATGGAATACTAAAACACAATAGGCGCGGTGCAGCCAACGCCCAACGTGGATGAAACGGACAACAGCAGCGGCTAGAGCGTTCTCCTTCCTCGGTGAACACTGCTACAAGACATTATGCTTGATGATTCACCAAACACCATCGTTGGGGGCCAAGTTTTCCGGCACCACTGCGAGTTGTCCGTCCACCAACTAACTAACTTTGAGTCATTCTTCAACACTTCGTAGACCAGCCGCGCAAGGCCTTTCCTTCGCGTTAGGGTAGCGATCCTTCCTAGATGATATCGCTATTCATTGTTACTTTTTACTACAATGAGTAGTGTTTCTCCGAAAATAAAGTCAGCTGCCATTACGCATTACTGTAGGCATTATATTAGTGCGCCTACTGGCCTAGGCCTATAGCCTAGCGCCTAGCGCCTGGACTTGTAAAATTAATTTTGCAAGTCTTCAATCTGACAATCATGTAACATTGTTTGCATGTACTATGTACGCGCTATCCAGCCATGTGGCGTGAACAGATTGCTTGACGTGAAAGGTAGCGAGTCGAGTCGTACGCGCGCGCTCGCGGACGTGTCTGACACGTGAAACGAAAAGATTTTTTTGGCGGGTAGTCGGCAAAAATTAAGTGACGGTCCCTTGGCTTTAGTCCTTCGCTTCTCTGACGCGTTCACTTGTTCACCATTCACGATTCACGGTACTGTACAAATTTTCGGCAGCATTTAATTTCGGCTATATTCGGCACCGACCCAAAACGCTGATGAAATTTTTCACTGCATCTGTCTACCATGCTCTCTACTGTACCCCATGCCATGGCCCACGCCGAAAATAAATCGACGCCGAAATGTCAAAAATCGTGAAGTGCCGAAATTTTGCAGCGCCGAAATTTTGTATATTTACAGTACGCGGTAGGTAGGTAGATCTACGTAGCTAGCGGGCAAGCCTGCAACAACCATGATAACAGTGCAAGCCGAAGCTCGGTCTTTTTTTTACAGTCAGTCCGAGTCGTCTGTATTTTACGACTCCCTGGTCTGTAGCTCCAGTGTGGGGAGCAAACCCATTCCCTTCTCACTTCCCTTTCAACCCATCCACCCTTCCAGGAAACTCCCCTCATAACGGTATCCGTTTACTTTTGGAGAATCTGCTTCAAATAAAGTCTGAATGAAAAAGGCATGAGAATGAATCGGATATGCCGCAGCCGTGATCATGGTGCACGGTAATGCTGGTGACTGGGTCCGTGCCCGCTGCACAGCGGTGCGCCCAGTGACCGTGGTGACGAGTGATGAGCAGCATAATGCCAGAGGGTGGTGTGTCTAACTGATTCTTGAAGACATTGGAGTGAGGACCAAGGCCCCCGGCAGTATTCAGCGACTTGCAGATGGCATCAGCCCATCCGCACTGAAGTCGGTGCTACACATCATACACATACACAAGTATTAGTTCATGCTACATGGAGCGGAACCTCTGATCTGATGTGCAACAGTCTGGGGTTTGTATATCGCATACTGCACTGAGCAAAACGCTGCCATGGCGATGGCCAGCACTGACACCTGCAGACCGAAGTCACGATTACCGGATCTTTAACCAAGAAGAGTGTGTCAGTTTGTTAGAACTTAGAAGGGACAGCTGTCCTCACAAGCCGGTTACTGATACTCACGATGGCCCCATACGCTCAGGGAACGCCAAAGTCAGACAAGAGCTGATTATAGCGAAGAGAACTGGCCCGTCACACCATGGACATTGCCAACAGTGCATCTTCCACCATCCAACATATCATAGGGCTCGGCAGCAGGAAAGGGTCCTCACCTGGTTTAATTCACCCCGAGCCCGCCAGCAATAGATAAAAAGTTCTGCAATGGCCAGACACATTGTTAGGGTTGGCACCCGGATAGTCTCCCATCGAGCTGTGCATGTGGAGTCTCTCTCCTCTCTCTCTCTCTCTCTCTCCCCCCCCCCCCCCCCCCCCCCCCGTGTTCGTGGCCAGACGTAGATCTACGAGGTCGGAGTACAAACAGAGCTTTCTCAACATTCAAGTCAAGTCACTGGCTTGCGTATTTTATCGTTATCTGTCTATTGCGTACAAGCACTAGCGTAAGCATCGCTTGCTATTTCTACATTCAGTACGCTGCGGTCTCACTACTCGTACAGGCTGACACCATAATAAACTAGGGATTGAATCACCCCCAGTACTCTTGATACAAAGTCACATATTATTTTGTGGGAGTAACGTTACATACATGTACTTATTCCCAAATACATGTGTACCTAAAATCTCCAGCAGAATTCGAGGAGTGAGCAAACCGGAGTAACTGGGTTACTGCGACAGACAGCAAGTGACCCAATCCAGGGATTGAATAGGACTCCCTGGGCATACTACAGGCGATTGCACACGCACACACTTCTCCTCTGCGTTTGCACTCCCAATCATTATATTCCACTCACGGGATGTCAATCGTAAGAAGTGACTGTTTGTACTTCAGTAGCGCCAAACAAAAGTGTACTGTTCTGAGATACAGTGCGGACAGTATGCAGGTCACACACCCACACATTTGACGCCTATCGCCAGAGGCGATGATAGCGAAGCTACAGCAGAAGCCATAGCAACTTGTGCTGGGAGTGCACTATTCCACAGATTGCAAGGCTGACGAATTGACCGCCACTATTCACCCTGGTCTACACCGCACAGCTACTTCAAGCGGCTTTCTCCGGCCGGTGAATCCCTATAATGTTTTTGGTCCTTTTCCCGAACACATCACACCACACCACACACCGCATGCATTAACTGTTGGTGACGACCACCCAGGAGAATAAAAGAAAAAGTCAGGAGAAAATTGAGGAAACACACACACACAGCACTGCAGAGAGAGACCTGGTGCGGTTCAGATGTACTGGAAGTTAGAATTTAAACCGGATTGCAGGACGGTTACTTGGTTAGGGGCAAGAACAGCCAGCCAGCCAGTAGGCAAGAGAGAGAGAGAGAGTAAAGCTAGTCAAGACTGAAGGGTGGGTGGCCAGAGAGCCGGGAATGGGAGCCAGAGGGGCAGATAACAGGAATGGGCAGCAGAGGCCCTGCTGTTGTAAAAAGAACGCCCTCACATTGGAGCTGGTGCATATGGCGGACAGCAAAAAAATAAACTAAGCAGAATTGTACAAAACTATACAAAATTTACAGAAAACGGGTCTGCCGCTCAGAGTCGTGCGCAGTAAAAACCAGCAAGGGGCGATCGTAAAATGGCTAAGGCAAACTGCCACGAATGATGAAAATAGGTAGTTAAAAAGCATAAAACGTAAATTCCAATTCTGAACAGATGCTGTATGATGACAATGGAGGAGTCTGAAAAAAGCGTACACATTGCGGGAAGCTGCGAAAGACCATAACTACATTAGACAGTACTTCATAAAAGATATAGCGGTTCAGAAAGAATTGTGCCAGGGACTGGGTGGAAAGAACATCACCGAAGGAATTGCGGCTTTCTGGAAGAAGGCCAGGATGATTCAAAGACGAAAGGGAGTAGAAATGTAAAAGAAAAGCAGTGCCGAAATGGAGCAGAGTCTCAAATCAGCCAATATATTGGAAGGTATTATCTAAGTGGGCTAGGTACAGACAGTGAAAGTAATCGCAGCAGCAAGCTGAGTTGCAGACTATGGACAAAGAGGAGGGAAACGAAAATACGGCACGACAAGCAAAATATGCGCGTTTGTATTGGATTGAAGGCTATTGAGTGATAGCATGCAAACAATGCAGACACAAAAGCAGCCGGCAGGGGCAGGCTAGAGCCAGAGAAGCGGGTGAGAGAGCAAGAGATTTTGTTCATGAGTCGGACGGATCTGTTATGACTGTGGTTTTTCCAAGAGCGGAAGCCAAATATGCCGCAGAAGAGCTGCAGGGCATCGAAGGAAAGCCAAATATGCCGCAGAAGAGCTGCAGGGCATCGAAGGGAAGCCAAATATGCCGCAGAAGAGCTGCAGGGCATCGAAGGGAAGCCAAATATGCCGCAGAAGAGCTGCAGGGCATCGAAGGAAAGCCAAATATGCCGCAGAAGAGCTGCAGGGCATCGAAGGAAAGCCAAATATGCTGCAGAAGAGCTGCAGAGCATTGAAGGGGGGCTCTTAAACAGACACAGCACGAGTGAAGAGCGATAGATGAGGCAAGTGCACAAAAACGATCAAGAGTACATTGGTGGTGACGACATCGACAGTGGATGACTGTGGGAGAGTGATGTTGGAGATAGGAAAACAAACAGTGCGTAAAAGACTTCACTGGAACAAAAGAAGTGCAATGCTGGAAAGCCTCGCCTGACAGCACTGTCCTGACAGCAGTATGAGGCGAGGGGTAATGGTGCAAACAGTGTCCAATATCCATTGTGCCCGGGGAAGAAAATGGTTCCTAACAGATCACCATGGCCAGCCAGGCAGACACAAGGTGCAAGGGAACAAGTCAGAAATATAGTCACTGGAACATTTGAATTACCGGTAAGTCATTGGGGTCATGTGGATGCTGAAACGCCGTCTCCGCCTCACATAAACATGTCCAGCAGGAGGTCGCCGTCGTACTCCACCACGGGCTGAAACACGTTCTGGTAGGCCGGACTCTCGTCGAACGTCAGCATGTCCTGCTGGTTGTCGTGACAGGGCACGCGCTCGGGCTCCTGCTTGAAGAACGGGCTGATGAACGTCTGCGGACTGCCGATGCTGTCCGGCGTGTTGTCGTCAATCAGACTTGTCGGCGTTTGGCTGCAAACAGCACACAGGCATACAAACAGTGGAGAGGGGATGCGGCGACGTAGCACGTAGCTATGTAGTCAAAAGACTCAACGCATGCCATGCACTAACTGATTTAGCACACCACACTTGAGTATACGAGCAGGTCAACCTTTGGTAGTGATGTGACCTATCAGTGGCAATATTTACAAATTTCCAATCGAGAGATAAACTGTGGCTAGTGTAAAAGTTATCATCTACCTTTGCGCAAAGCTCGTTATGTAAGCCGATGGCAGTGCTAGGCATGTCTATGTATGTCAACACGCAAAACGGGCTTCTTCCGTTGATACAATCATGTAGTGTTCATTTCCGGTCAAGTTTCCCATTTGGTCGGACCACCTGAAATCCCTTTCCGGCGAAGTTGCTCCCTTTACGGTGAACATTTTGTAGAACTCACCTCATAAGCTGACCCGTCATCACATCAAGTATTGATGGATCTACAATTTCCGTCAAAAAATCCATCTCCTGCTCGCTGAGAGGCTGGGAAAGCTGAATGACCAAAAACGGAGAGAGGGACACGAAAAGAAACCTTGATCAGGCACACAGAAGGGCAGCAAAGAGATGAGAGATAGACTGTCAGACTAGACCACACCACAGAGCAAAGGGTAGACCTGCCATGTGTAAGGCAGCTCACTGCGAGCAAGTGTGCACAGCAACATGTCAATGCAGCAAGCAGACACTGCCGTGCTTTGCAGACATTCCATTGCTTCTCAAATCATTGAAGAAAATATGAATAACATAATTACAGGTGGTGACGGTGGATATGTTGTTGCTTGCCGCTGTGGCGTACACTCAAAGCGCAGTGGCATGTCGGTTGGCTGAGCATAGCATGGCCGCGACGAGCACATTTCCCCTGCATAACGATGGTGGTTGGCAGCTTCCTCCGCATAGCACTGGTCTTCTACGCAGACGCTGTTGTCGGGACAGACAAGGACTTCGATTGGGTCACAGGTAGGGCTCTTCAGTAGCACATTACTTGTCGTCTGTAGGAGACCGATAAGAAGATGACAAATGCACGTGCCCTGATCAGTATCATTGCCGGTCAAGCAAGCCTGAGACAAGAATGCGAACATGACGTGCAAAGCTGCAGTCAACACAAACCTACTAGACATTTACGTCATTGTCTGAACATTGACTTTCTGTCCCCACAGAATAACGCGGACAAAATCCTTAAATTATGCGGGCGAAAGCAGGCCATTATGCGGCAAGTATGCGCGATCATAGAGTGTTTAGTTTTCACGTAAATTCCTTATGTCCGTGAAATTCTGATCGAATTTGTGCGAGTATCCGTAGTTGTTGGAAGATTAGATATTTGTGTGGTTAGATTCGGGTTAAGTTCGAAAAACTAAAGCCGGATCTTACCACGGCAATAGTTCACGTCAAGTCGCACGTGTAACTTAACCTCTAAAATTTACATGTACCATGAAATTTTCACTGCGCTTTGAAAAAAGTCAAAAAACGCGTAACTTGACCTCTCTAATGCGGTCATTATGCACGAGTTATCTGTCACTTGTACAACTTTAGCGTACAGCTCCATGCAAGTATCTCTTTGTTTGTCACCAGTTAATCCCATATATAGGATTAGACTTCAAGACGCATTTGCAGCCTCGAAAATGGTCGAAGTGGAAGCAATGTTATTGAAGATGCATTTTGATTTCCCACAATGCCTCTCTGTATTTAAAATGAATGAATAGTGGTTACTCACTGGCTAAGACCCCCAGGAAAGGTATCGGTGTGCAATTACTGCAGATGAATTGCAATTACAAGTGGTAGAATTCCACTGGGAGTGGAATTGATGAATATTAGCACCATCCGAGCATTGAAGTAGTGCTGTGAAGTGCTCGCAGATCAATATGAACTAAAGACACTACATGTTTGGGGCATTTACTAAATCAGTTGTGTTCAAGTATGTACACATATTAATAGTGGAATACTCTTTTGGTACTAGCCTAGGAGCTGCTTCTTCTTTGGCCATAGATGCATAGAAGTTTTTTGTTAGCTCCGTATGGGCCATATCTAGGCTTGGATATTGCCAATTATGGTTTTTATTGGCAGGGGAAACTGGGAAGAACAAAACCAATTTTTGAAGAGGCCAAATCCTATATGTAGGATTTCGAAAATTCTGGACACCTTTGCACGGGAAGGCCTGTTAAAGAAAAAGTAAAGCCCTTGTGCTGGTGAAACTTGGCAGGCATCATCTCTGATAAACACGGAATGTAGACTCCAACAAGGTTTGAAGAAAGAACTTTACTGTGTAAGGTATGATCTACCCTTTCCCAAAAATTGGGAAAATCCTATTTATAGGATTTGACAGACAAAGAGATACCTCTTTGTCGTACAAACTCATGGACCGGTACGACTAAGGCCTCGTTTACACGACACGCTTTTACAGATTCCACAGCAACATGTTAATTCAAAAGATAAAACTCGAGAAAGTACCAAGGCATCTCTTTCCCTATGACTGGTTTGTGCGGAGACGTTCAACAAGGGCACAAGTCTCGCTACCTGCAGCTCGCACTGTCCAGTTTACAAAATCCCCTTTGTTTCATTCCTATTCTGACTGGCTCAAGCTATCAAGCCTCGCCCACCACTGCCACAGCATGTTTCGCCAAGTTGTTTGTACTGAGTTGCGTTTTCCTGCAGCACTCACGCGTATTTAGCTAAACAATGTAATTTCCGGCTATCTCACTTAATTGGCTGCGCTTTGTTTTCCTCCCTGTTTTCTTGTTTTCTTTCGTACTTTTACCATGGCTGGTTATCGCCCTCATCTCCGGGGTTGCTTCCCACATTAGCAATGCGTGCACATGCTACGAGATTGAGTTTAATAATAATAATAATAATTTTGATAGGAGCGTGCACACGAGCATGCTGAAAAACGTTTCGAAAACGTTTCAAAACAAAACGGTCTTCAACATGTTTTCCAATCATTTTCATTCCCTTTCGTTCTCGTGTAGACGGTAAAAACGTTTCACTGCTACTCAAAACATGCCGCCGCCAAGCCAACTTATTGCACGTGACCATTGCGCGCTGAAAAACGCTTTGCAGTGTACACGCTTATCGTTTTCGTGTGAACAGCAAGAAACGCGAAAACGGAATAAAAACGTTTTCCAATCGTCGTCGTGTAACCGAGGCCTTACACTTTCTTGTACATTCCCATGGATAACGCGGGTTTTATGCAAACTCTCTCGAAAACGCGGCTGAAAGCCAATAACGTGGAAAATTGCGCGCCCGCAGAATCGCGGTATCCTGTGGGGACAGGACATTACATTTGGCAGCAGTGTGTCTGCTTAGTGCCCTGTGTGCAAGGCGCATACTGTACTCGCGCCATTAGCTCACTATACAACAGAGAGCACTATCTGGTTTGTTGTTACTATTTTTCGCCAATCGAATAGAGCCACTTTTGAAACCTAAGGTACCTAAGACGCTAACAAATCTGTTGGGGTCTTAGGCTTATGCGAGTAATCAACACAATCATGGCAGATCCGGACTGTATCAGGAGGACTGCTTGCATGCTGGCTGACGCTTGAAGAGACCAGTATACAGCAGTTTTTGCTCTGCACACAATGGTGTGCACATGACACGCGTTGAACACATATGAGTGAGAAAGGGGCCCAATTGGAATAGCACTCTGCAGACAATGGGCAGTGCCAGAGCCGGAACGGTTGACGTGCCCGCCCAATGCTAAGTGTGCACTGCTATCTTGAGAGTGAGACCAGCGGTGGATTTCAAGCGCATGCAACATACATCTAGCTCCATTCATTCAATACATGTTACGAAGAAGACATTGGCAATCTGCCAATACATGTAAGGGCTTTCAAAAATGCGCAGAGTGTTATTCCAATCGGACCTGTTTCACACTCATAATTATGTGTACAATACGTGTCATGTGTGTGTGTGTGTGTGTGTGTGTGTGTGTGTGTGTGTGTGTGTGTGCAGAGCTAAATTGCTGTACATTGGTCTCTAAAGTAGACACGTCCGTCATTGAGAACACGACAGCCGTACCACTTGTCTGCACATGACCGTGCCAAAACCTATACATGTATGACCCATATTGGCCTATATTCCCTGGCCACGGGAAGGCGAAATAAAAAATGAAATGAATAAATGATACAGCTGTAAAAGCCATTATTCTAACGAGGCGCATATATAACGATTTCGTAAAATTGACCAGTTTACGTGTACTAAACAAAGGCAACGATTCTCACTCATTCTCAACGCTCAATAGCAACAATATGTATGGATTTCTATCTAACGTTTTCTATTTTAACGACGGATTTCTCCTCGTTAATTCGTTAGAATTAGCACTTCGTGACATATTATGGCTTTTACAGTACACCCATTTTTATTCCCGTAGCTATGCAGAAGACGTTACTTCAGTAACGTCTGGCGCTAGCCAGGGTCCACACAGCTTTAATTTGGTGTTTGTGTGTTTGTTTGTTTCTGTCACGCCTGGCGCTATCCCGTATCTGCCCCGTACTGTACCGTACCATCAAACACAGCTGGCCACATACAGCTGGCCGCAATATTCAAATAGGGCTTTCAAACGCAAGATCATAACGTGAAGCAATTTGGTAGAATGAGTATGAATGCGAAGTGTATGGGGGAATGCATGTAGGGCGATAGTGCGGGTTCTAATCCCAGGTTATGCTAAAAAAATAGGAGAATTGAAAAATTTATAACATCTCTATGCTTTTTTTGCCTAGGTCATCAAGGCGGTAGACGGTGTCGTATTACCCTCGACCGTACCTGTCCCGTACCGTACCGTGCTATCAAAGACGGCTGGCCACAATGCATATTCAAATAGGGCTTTCAGATGCAAGATCATATTAACGTGAAGCAACTTGGAAGAATTAGTTTGTATGCGAAGTGTATCGGGGGATGCATACATGGCGATAGTGCGGGTTCGAATCCCAGGTTATGTCTTAAAAAAAAGGAAAAATTTATATGAATTTATAACATCCGTATGCTTTTTTTGTCCAGGTCATCAAGGCAAAAAAGCATAGCGTAGGGCCCTGAGCTTCCAAGCTCTCTCGTTATCTCAGCCCGAGTAAAGCAGATTGTGCAACTTCTCATGTACAATCAGAAAGGGCCTATTTCCCCCAAAATTCAACGGTCCTTTACTAAGATGAAGAAGTGCCGCATAGTGTAACATACTGGGATACAGGTCGTCCCCCGTTAATACGAGTCCGGTTAGTACATAAACCCCGTTAGTACATAAGAAATCTCAAGTCCCGGACGAAACGTGGTCACTTCCATACAATTTTTGTCGGTTAGTACATAATTCGTTAGTACATAAACCCCGTTAGTACATAACATTTCTTCGCACCCGCATGCCACCTACCTCAATAGTACATTATTTGTTGGTCTTTCGGCCTTCCAGTGGAGGCACATTGTGTTCTAGTTTCTACTTGTGGACGCAATTAGTTCAGAAATCAGAGCGCACATCACAATCCGAGAAAGCTCTGTTTTTTCCGAGTGACTATACAGGCGCGGCTGGCATGCTATCATGTAAACTGTAGAATCTTCGCTGACTGTGACCGTTATAACATAATTTTTATGTTATATTGAGGGAATCAAGAATATCTCGCTCCCTAGTCATGGTAGCAAGAAACACTCAGAAAAGTTGAAAAAAGTGAAAAATTCTGGTACACAAGCAAGTTATGTACACTTTCGTTTAGTACATAAACCCCGTTAATACATAACATTTGTCAAGTCCCAGAGATTATGTATTAACGAGGGACGACCTGTATACGTCTTTGAAGTACACACACACACACACACACACACACACACACACACACACACACACACACATACACACACACACACACACACACACACACACCACTACTCACATTAGTATAGCCAGGATTGCAACTGGTGGTGCCCTGCAGGATGAGATTGGTGGGGGCTTTGATCATGATGAGCGTCTGGTCGCGCAGGGCCTCGATTGCACGCAGGTCATTGTTGACAACGTAGCCCTTGCGCTCCGTGTTCTGCATGTGCTTGTAGACGGAGTGGGCGGTTTCGAGGAGGCCATCGAGACGCTGTTCCTCCTCAAGAAGATGACTGACTTCTTGATGGAGCGCGTGGGCTCTGCCTACAGAGACTTCTGTTGTGTCAAAGCTACCACGGCTAAACAAACAAACCAAACAAACAACACCATTCGAGCAAGAATCGTACGAAACAGAATAATCAGATGGGGCCCGTGGGTATGTATTTCATAAACCACCACACCACAACTGCGCTCTCCAGCCGACCGAAGACAAATCTGCACACGGCCGAATGCTGCTGCCTATCCTTGTTTACTGGGAACCATGGGCAGTTCTAAAACGTCCGGAAAATTAATCCCGACACAGCTGAAGCCGTCCATGACACCGGGCATGTGAAATAAGATGAGAGGGGCACTCAAATACACCACGGAAACTAAAATATAATTTGGTAGATCTTTTTGCATACGGTCAGAGTTAAGGTGGCTCGGCTCGTACCTAAATCGAAAACTAGTCCTTTGAGCATCCTTCTGCGCAGGTTTGGAGTAGAAATATGATGAAATAGTATTACTTTTTGCCCCTCGCGGGTTCGAACCTCCCCGGTAAAAACTTTTTTCTTCTTTTTCGGTAGTGGTTTTGACAAAAATAGCTTCTATAATCGACTCAAAAGGAATGTTCTGGTGGCAACAGAAACATGAAACTTGGCAGACACCTTTTTATCAATCAGAGGAACATCTTTACCAAAGTTAAGGAAATCCATAAAGCAGTTTCAATTTACTTGATGGCAGTAATACGTATATTTAGTATTATTTACCCCCAGATCAACAAATTGATAGTACTTGACAATGTATGCTTCTGGTAGATGCAGGGGGCTATAACTTTGCAGACTCTTCCCATTACTATCTGAGTATACCTCCGCAAAATTTGAATGAAATCTATACGGCCATTATGTTTGACTGTAATATTTTGGTCCACCGCACACGTAAGCCAATATTGGATTCAGTAAACCGTGCTCCTAGGTACTTCACATTGATTCAATATCGAATATCTAATGTTTAGCGTATGAACCACATAGCTGGCTGTACTTTTTGAAGAAATGAAAAAAATCTATCGGGCCAATTTCAGGAAGCACCCCGCAGAGTACCGATATTTGCGTTCCGAATCGAATGAAATTGTTAGTATGGGCAGCCAAGAACCCTGAAAAGAAAGCCCAGCCACCCTATTTGGCCGCCGTGCAGCCCAATACGTGGTTTTTGGACTTTTTTTGGACTTGGAGCAAAATTCTGCACACTTTCGCGTGTTTCCATGATCCGACAAGTTGCGCACGGTCTGCTCACATTCAAATACAGTGCTGCCAACAAATGACAGCGCGCAACAAAAAATCTTTCCTTGCAAGGGCACATTCTCGGCCATAACTCTTGAACGGCTGGTCAGATCGAGGCAAAATTTTCAGAGATTTTGCAGCTGTTCATGCTCTTTCAACTGATGTAGCACTCTATGTGAATTTCCAAATTCGATTTTTTAGGGATTTAGGACCAGGCTGCCACCTTAAACAGTCCATTCATCCAAAATTGGCACCCTAACACTTGGTGTCTTGGCAGATATTGTAAAAACAGCTGTAACAGTTGCATCCTGCATTATGTGACCCGTGCAATGGGAGGTATGCATCTAAGATGGCCGTCACCTTTTTGCGGGGCAAGTTACCCTATATTTGGCAGGTACAACCAAGAGTACATAACCCCCCAGAGTGTGCAACGCCTGATCCAGCTGTGCATAGGGTCTTGGTCGAGCGGAATCGGATCTTTGCGTCATAATACCGTACACATCTGAGAGGAACCCGGGAAGTCGCGGGTACTCTCGGATCAAAATCAATGGTGCCCTGCCTCGAGACCGGCCTCGCGCTGGTGTGGAGTGTACGCATGACATCAGAAGATCCGATTCCGCTCGACCAAGACCCTATGCAGAGCTGGATCGGCGTTGCACACTCTGGCGGGTTATGTACTCTTGGTACAACCCGTTACAGTACATTTATGAGTATGACCTCACAAAGCTCATGACCTTTTATGCAGAGTTGGTATCCAGGTGTGTACGGTTGCAGTGGACTTGCCGCAAAACCTAATGGCGGGAAATTGATGCTCGTACGACGTACGTCCCATTGCTTCCTTGCCGAAGCCGAGGTCAAAAAGGCCCAAGGCTATGGAATTATCATGCGTTCCTGTTCACTAGACTGTGCACAGCGATCGGTTCGGCCAGTCACCCCCAAACTCCGCTGATGAGACCTAACAAGAGTCGAAACAGCTAGCCACCTGGAGAGCGAGTTAGAGGGTTTGGCCTACTTTTACAAATTCAGGACAGGTATACGATGGAGAGATGTATGGAGAAGCGTGTCCAAAACCCAGAATTTATTCATTATTACACGCACGTTTACGTCAACGGCAAGCCCATGTATTCGCATGTGCCAGAAAACAGACAGAGCGGGCAGACGTGTGAATGAAAGTGACGTGTGAGTGTAACAACCTATACCCAGAATTCACAAAGTTAAAATGGGGTTTGGAAGATTGGACTAGTCGACTCTGCGCTGTATTACTATAAGCTGAGCTCACATAATGCACACCTGAAAAGCAGCATCACTGAGAAGGGATTGTGTACTGAAATAAATCTTACCTCCAATGAACATTATTCTTTGACTTCTTCTGGATTAGATTGATCCCTTCGAGAACGTTAGTTATGTCGTATATTCGGCGTTTTTGGACTTTCAGCGCTGCAGCTGCCTCATTCAGGTCGACTACGCCACCCTCTGCCTTATGCAGAAGGTTGACGAACCGTTCGGTCAGTAGTCCGAGTGATGTGTCAGATCGTTTCTTGTCTGGCGTGCAGGCTACTGCAAAAAGAGGCAGGCACACAGGGTACACGGGGCACACACATGGTAAGATGGCCGCTCCACACAGTGGCATACACATGACATGTTTTACTTCAAGAACATTGCCCCACCGGGAAAGGGGAAACTTTGGACGGCCCCCTAGTTATCGTAAACTTGAACTGGTCCTAATCTAGGCTGGGATAAACTTCCACGCGAGGTCTTCATGGTGTAGAATGTTGGGGAAGTACCCCTCCCGGGCACTACGTCAGGGGTCCAAATCGCATACACGTACCGTTGACAGGTGGAAATTCAACAGGAGATAGATCAACAGTACAGTTTACGGTATATACGATGTAGGATTTTGGAAACCGAGGGCACTCTCTTTTACAGAAACTGAGGGCACTCTCTTTTGCAGAAACAGGCGTGATCAGATCGAGCGGAGGAAGGGGTTCGAACGTTCGTCTGAGAATGATGACTGAAGTTGTCAAAACAAGAGACCCAGTGCAGATGGGATAACAGCTGACTTCGCAAGTGTGTAAACATTTTCAGTCATTTCCATCTCACACTGTGAATACAGTTGTAGTGACATAGTAGTGTGATCAGTGAGGTTGCATTACGCCAATGGTGCTCAAAACCAAAAAAGGCTCTCAGCTCTAAAGAGATCAGAAATAATAATTGACAGAGCGTGGCCTGCCTACGCCGAAAGTACAGGACTTTTGTACATGCGTACAAGTACTCATGCCAGTCATGGCATGGCGATCATGGATACTTACCTGAATCCATGCAGTCTGTTCTGGAGTACTTGGTTCGCTTTTTCACTGGCTCCGAGTTGGTGGAGCGGTCCTTCACAAAGTGGAGACGTCGCTTGGTCTACAGTGAAGAGGAGACACAACATTGGACGAGAGGACCATATTGGACGGCTTTTACTATGACATGACGAAGTGGGTACGGCAACCACAATCATGATGAATCTTTTTTTCCTGCACGAGGCATGCGTGCACGCTTCGACGAAAAAGGGGTTGAGTCATTGTACTTGTAGCGGATTCGAACTCAGAAAGGCAGGTAGATCTACCGGTGCTCGTACAGAATCAGTGAGCGAAAACAAAAATTGCAAGAAGCTCAAGAGCGGAGGCCGGAGGAAGACTTTCACTTCTGGCCAGCGACCCAAAGCGTAGCCCCTGACACACTTATGGACATCTTGTTCTATAAGCGAACTTAGCTTCAAACTCAAGCCACCTAATTCGGAATCGTGGTGAATCCATATGGAATGTGTATAGCATTTTAGGAAGGAAAGACAACGTGGCGACTCGTACAATCATAATACAACTACAAGACGATTGGTACATAACAGTATTGTCCAACAGCAGCAGCACCAACACTGCAGCTGCAGCAGGGAATACTGCTCCCTGGTCAGCAGTACAAAAAAATGCTAAGTAGATCTACATGTATAAGCTCTCTGGAGCTTCGTAGTTTCCGTGGTCAGGTGGATGGTAGTAGTAGCCATTGGACAAACGAACGTGACATTCAAAGCACGTTGTGCAACAAAACTAATCGTAGAAATCAAGAACATCTACCACTGAGTAAGCTTACCGCGGCCTTGCGACCACCAGCGTCTCCACCATGGAGAGGAAGAGATAGTGCTCTGTTGGGTCTGGCGTCCAGCGTGTGGACCTCACAAGGACCCATTCCCGTAGCTCGAACAAGAGTTCACGCCAAGATGTTCTTCGACTATCGGGTGACAAAGGCAACGGAAGAACGGTGTGTTCTCCGTATTGGCCTGAGCTGGGGCAGCAAGTGGATAGGGTGCTTTCCTGTAACTAGTACATCACAAGAAGGAGTGACGACTGCCCAACACCAGGGTGTCCGGTGCAAGGACGACACGAAAAGCTGCTTCAAAAGCTGCAACACATCTCCGAAGTGGAGAAAACGAGCGTCTGCCGAGCACTCTGTCTCTGCTTATGCCAGTTATGGGCAGCACAACTTTTTGTTGTTGATGTTCCATGTTTGTCGAAGTGTGACCTTTCAGACCATGTACCATGTACCACCGTACACGAAAACTGCAGAGAGTGCGTACAACAAGTAAAGTAGTTACTAGTTAGTTCAACTTTTTTATTTCGCAGATCAAAACTTATTACTTGACAAAAGTACCTATCTTCAAAGCAGGGAGTACTAAAAATAATATAATTAATATGTGTTTTAGTACTCCCTGCCTGCTTCAACCCCGCGCCCGGCTGGAGTCGTAAAAGTGGTACCTACGACTCCATGCTTCAAACTTACTTCGAGCTTCATCAAAGCAGGACCATAATCATGATAATGACGCAGAATCTAGAAGGTCCAGCATCACTCTTCAGGACATGTACCAGGGAGTAGTAAGAATTAGATCAAGAGTGCATAAACATTTTTATGGACTCTTGTTAGATGCTATAGCAAGAATATGTCACTCACATGCAAAAACCGTCATAAAAATAATATAAAACACAAGTTTTTCTCATCTTTTCCTTGTTTTTCATTAGCTTTAGCACGTTCATTCACATTCTTCATCATCTGTGAGAACCACTAGACCTGGTCTAGTGAGAAGGCATTCTACTGCCTGTAATTCTGGTGAAGTAAAATAAAGTAACAACAACGATAAGCCTCAACGGGTTTATACATGTACATGCACTCTTACTACTGCCAAGGGTAGTAGTAGTATTTATTATTTTTGTTAGGGAAATCCCTACAGACGTTGCCGTCTTTTTACAGGGAACCCTAATAATATAAGTGCTCTTTGCAGAGCGAAATGAAAGCGGATGGTTGATCCTCTTGCTACTGCTTGTAGTTAGTGTTGCTACTCCGTTGATCAGTGGATGGTGCATTAGCCATCACTAGTATGTCCGTTGGTGAACCCCAGGGACCGTCTACAACTCTCTGGTGAACCCCTACGACTCGAACCTGAACCTTTGAACTACATATTCTGCCCGTACAAGATCTTAATTTTTAACTTGTACGAGTAAAAAAAGAAAAAAAAGAAATACACATACTTGTAGTTGTACCCTCGTACCATAAAGAAGAACGACTCTCTTCACCAACCTTCTTCTTTGGTATGCTAGTAGAAATGGAGATACGTGGACGATAAATAGCAGAGTGCTCAACGGAAACAGTAAAGAAATGCAAGCGGAATAAATACGTGCCCTCACCTTCCCGCTCGGTGAACTCGTCAGGCTTGCCAAGCGAGCGTCCACTGGCAGCACGCGTGCACGTCCACTGGGTCAGAGTCATAACCGTTCAACAATACATAACTAGTACTAGTAGCAGGGAGTAATAATGTAAGTATTGTACTACTCCCTGCTAGCTACTAGTACTAGTCCAGGTACATAATTGTAGACTTTTAATTTGTCTTTTCACTATGGACACTAGTGCACTGCAGCTAGCCGGGAGGAAGTACAATGTCATGTACTGAGTAGTTACCATGTTACTGTCCATACTGCACCACTCCCTGACTGCAGCATAGCACAATGCACAAGTGCATTTTGCCAATACACCATGTACCAGTACACGTACACATCCAGTCAAGAGTCCATTGGCACATGATGTAAATAGGTATTGGATAGTGCACGGATCCGAGGAGAATATTTTTCATAATCCCCAAGCCAAGGCGCGCAGCGCCGCGGGGATTATGAAAAATATTCTTCCGAGGACCAATCCGTGCACTATCTGTATAGCTCGACTTGTCAGGCACAATCTGACATATGAAAAAACAATACCTGATCTTTTTTCTCTTTACATTGCCTCACCCTGTTATGGTTTTCTTCTTGTTCTGGTGGGAGTTCAGGCCCCACATGTTGTGCCGGTACTCTTGTAAGTCCTGATCTGTGCGTTTTTCTCTTTGAATTTTCTCAGCCAATTAATTTTTGAGGGGGAGGGAGGGAGGGTGATGCCTGATGGGCAGTATGACCAGTCTTCAGTTTCCATGGCAACATTGTTGTTGAGATCGAAATGCGGGCGTGTTGGATTTCTTGCGAATTCAAAATACAAAGAACAACATTTCTCTTGTTTAGGTTCCATAGTAAACCTATTTACGATACAATACAATGTATTTGCTTTCATTTGTTGTTCAGTTCCCATGGCAACGTTGTCGTTGACGTTGCAGACACATGTACCTTGTTCGAAGAGAATCGTAAATTCCGCTAGGACCCTAAAGGTCTGACGTGGAATTAAGGTTGCATAAGGAGGTGAGGCTGAGAATGTGACAGTGTGTTAGGCCCAAAATCGCTCCGTTTTCATATAATTCATAGCGCTTTAAAGACAAACACATTCAACCTCATTTCCCGCCAAAACCAACCCTTCCCAGAATCTCTTTGGCCTTTCTGAGCCGTTTCTTGAATGGATTACTGTGACAGTGTTCTGGGGTATCACTGCACTGGGAGGGTGGGACACTGTCACATTCTCAGCCTCACCTCCTTATGCAACCTTAATTCCACGTCAGACCTTTAGGGTCCTAGCGGAATTTACGATTGCATTTCGGAGGCTCGGCCTTCGAATGTGACAGTGTGATTTTCAAAGACAAGGCTGAGACCAAATCCCAATACTTGCTCAAACATGTATTCTCCACAGTGATAGAGCTGGAAAAGCAATATTATAGCATTACAACCGTTGAACGTCATCCAGTGCAAACATGGACAACAGCACTCACTCCTCAGGGTAACTAGCCTGACAAGAGAAAACCTCCACACAATTTACGGCACCCTAAGTGATGCACAGACAGTGCCACTCATCCAGACTACATTACACATTGTACAATGTACATGAATGCAATGTTCGGATATTCCCACAAATACTAATACTGCAGTTGGGTTACTACCACGGATTGCACTATCAGTAGGTGAAACATAGGCACCCTCAGTCCGGAGAGGCAGCAGCTGAGTAGGGACAATGGAAGGATGATTATGAATGGCTGAGCTATTGAGCACAGCTTGTGACCATTATAGTGGGATACAAATGTATCAGGCTGGCTCCAATTGGCTGCCAGCTAGGCATCTGACATACAGATGACAGCCTGGAAAGCGGCTGCAGCTGAGGCGCCGCGAGTAGGTGTAATGAGCCTGGAAGGCTGGATCAATTCCCAAACAGAGACAATCTACCCTTCAGCCACTGTGCCAGAGTGGATGAGCCCACTGGTATGTGAGGAGCTGGGATTGCCAAGCCAGTGGTAGAATGCTGATTGCTCTGGTTTCAATCGAAATTTGGCTGTGCGGGCTCTAAATTCTCGAGCATAATCAACTACATTTGTAGGCTAGCCAGACTACCTAGTACTAGTAGTAGCTTGGGAACGAAGAATGAGTTTGGACTTCCGGACCTCTGAGCCTTTGTCGGCGAGGTAAGCTGAAACATCAAGTAGCACCTGCATTTAGTTGATATCCAATGAGGTCAGCTCAAATGATCGAGCTGACTTTGCAAACGCAAGTAGCATAATACTAGCATTACACACTAAGTCTTCCTGGACAGAAGGGGCACCCGAAGTTGAGCTTTCAGACCCAGAGGCCAGAGCACTACTCTTATCCTACATCATCTTCACGTCCCATGTGTTACCACACTATGGCTGTGGTGGTCGCTTTTGGTGATATATACCACGCAGGACGCAACACACATGCAAGTCTTGGCTAAGGGGGAAACCGGATGGGTTAGGCAAGGGGGACGGCAGAGCTGACCGACACATGTTGATAGTGCGGTACTGCTTACCTTCGGAAACCTGATCAGCTAAGAAGTTAGCTAGTGAGGCAGCCATGTGATCTTCCTACCGTGCACCCAATCAGCTGTTCTATAATCGGAAGGCTGACTCGTATGAGACAGTAGGTCCGTCGCGTCTCCGTGTGGAGGCGTCTGCTGAAAGTCCCAGCTGAGCTGTAGTATGCCTGAGATGGTCCAAATGGCTAGCCGGAGGCCCTTCAGTGGATGTAGATTCTTCCCATGGATCAAGGAGCATAGGGTCGCGCTGTGGCAGCTGCCAAGAGCACTAGATCAACATCTGCAGCAAGAAGGGATAGAACCCTTGTACCAGCTAAACTAGAGCTACTAGAATTGCTCGCTGGATCCGATGTTCTCGGATGCAGCGTAGACACGCGTCCACCAAAACAAATGGTGGAAACAGGTAGCCGTTCCGCCACATGGCCGGCGGTGCCGTCAGGGCATCGGACCACTCTGCCACTTGGTCTTGGCCGTGGCTAGCTGATGTACGCCGGCAGCTGGCAATTGTGCCGCGTCACGAACAGATCTCGGACAATTGGATGGCCACTCTCCCTGATCAGCTGAACCAGCCCTGTAGAATTGGATTGAGCTGCCAATCGCCGCTCTCTTCAATGTTCCATGATAGAAAACCGGCCTCAGTGTTCAGGCGACCGGCACATGGAGGGCTTTGCGGTGTAGCAGGCGCTGCTCGACTCAGGTCCAAATGTCCTTGGCTAGTTGGCATAGCTGATGAGAATATGAGTCTCGTATGTCCCGCCTTGGTGATCAACATAATTATGCAACTGCTGTTGTGTTGTCCATCTCTAGCCCAGCAATACTGTTATCAGTGACTGGCAAGAGCAAACGTCTGCAGGCCCAGGAAAACAGCTTGAAGATCCTTCCAGTTGATACGGAAGTAAGTTGTCCAGATGTGTCCATGGCCCTCCCGTGGCCCGGTTCTGGCACACTGCGCCCCGACCGTAGTCGGATGCATCCGATGATATGATTAAAACTGGCGGGGCTGGCACTACTGCCATGGCATTGTGTGCTGCCGACTGGTGTGACCACCACTGCAAGGAGGCCGTCCTGAGGCTCGAGCGTCAGACATATTCTTGTCCAAGGCCGCTCCAGAGCCCGGTGTAACTGGAATTGGATATTCCGAAATCAAAGCAACGCTACAAGTAGGCAAATTGCTATCCGGGATGCTACCATCCTGCCAATGAGGCTTCGCAGCTCTCAAC